AACTAGAGTAGGGTACAAAAGCCATAGGAAAGAGAATGAGTAGTTTATACCCCTAGCAGTGGGACATGCTAGAGGTCAAAAAGGTAGGATGAGGTTCTAAATTGCTGAAGTTTCAATTAAGATAGCTAGTCCAGCTTGATCTGGCCTGTATTTCCATCGTCTCAGGAGGTTGAGGCAGGAGGATCCCATGTTAAGACCTGCCTACAGAGTGAGTTCGTGGTCAGCTTGAGTAACTTAGTAAAACCTTGTCTGAAAATAAAAAGTGAAAAGCAGGCAGGAGATATAGCTTGGAGGAAGAGTGCTTACTTAGCACACACTGGGTTTTGGTTGGATCCCCAGGACCACAAGCAGCTGATATTATGTAACATTCTGTTCTGTTCTCAGAACCTATTTGTCCTAGGTTGTCCTTCTAGGATGCTGCCAATCAAGGTGATTCACAAAGGCTGGAGAGTCTTTGCAGCCGAATCTCTTTAGCAGCTGGCGCTCTCTGAAATGTGTTTGCTTTATCCTCTCACTCTCAGTACCTGAAGGGAGCAGCGTTGCTTTCCTGCAGCTAACCCCCTGTAGCTATGATGTGTGTCTTGCTACCCAGGGCCAGTTAGACTGTAGAACCTCTGAACCCCTGAGACCGCTGCAGCTCTGGCCAGCTTGGAACTCTCTCCGTAGACCAGGCTGGCCTTGAACTCAAAGTGATCGGTCTGCCTCTGCCTCCCAGAGTTCTGGGATTATAGGCGTGTGTCACCACACCCGTCTTCCTTCCTTCCTTCCTTCCTTCCTTCCTTCCTTCCTTCCTTCCTTCCTTCCTTCCTTTTGTTTTTGTTTTTAATTTATGTGTTTTAAGTTATGTGTTTGTATGTCTGTGTGTGGGTTTGTGCACATAAATGCAGTTACTGAAGAAGCCAGAAGAAGGCTGGAGTTACAGGTTGTTGTGACTCATCTACTGTGAGAGCAGGGAGGCAATCTCAGGTCTTAGGCAAAAGCAAATGCTTAACTGACTTTGAAGGGTAGGAAAGGAGGATTCTAGAGTCAACTTTTAAGAATGTTTAAGGGAGACAAAATTAAACAGTCTCCTGTGTCCCACCTCAGGCCCCAGCCTTGGGATCTAGTAGGTGTCCTTTTCCAAACCCTTTACCCTCACAAAGAAAAAACTTGGAAAAAAACTGATTTAAGACACTTCTGTAAGAAGATTTTTCTTGATAATCCTAGTCAGAAGTTATTACAGTACTTTATGAGAATCTTCATGACTCATAAGATTCTTTTGACATTCAGAGTTTGATGCTGTAAACAATTATTGGAAGAATGGGTAATCCTTTTGGGATGAGAGTTAAGACCAGGAGCAGAATATCCTCTTTGAGATGAAATGTGAGTGGGTCTTATTTCTTCTAGCCCCTCACTGCATCCTTCAGCTCCTCAGCGATTCCTCTAGCTCCTCACTGTATCCCTCAGTCCCTCACTGTGTCCTTCAGTCCCTTGATGATTCCTTCAGCCCCTTAGTAATTTCTTTGACTCCTTCCTCGCTGTGTCTTTTACCTTCTCACTGCTTCCTTCAGTGCCTCACTATTTCTCTGTTAGCCCCTCACTGAATCCTTCAGCCCCTCAATGATTCCTTTGGCCTCCTCACTGCTTCCTTCATGACCTCTCTGTAATTTTTCACCCCCTCACTGCATTTGTTGTTCCTTTTAGCACATTAACCTGGAGGGAGATGAACATTTTGGCAACAAAAATTATGAGAAATTGAGGTTCTCAGGGAGATTTCAGGAAAGAGGAGTCTTGCTAAAACAGGACTATTTCTAATGCATGGGAAAATCAGACAAGGAACAACAGACAGGCTACTGGTAGACCTGAAAAGCTGTGGTGGGGGGAAGGTTCATTTGGAAGACTGAAGCTGTTTAATGTTGGGGTAGGAGCAGTGTCAACCTGTAGCTGCTTTTTCACTGTGAAATCTTAACTTACATTTCCTTGATCTCCAGTGTTTGAGTGTTAATGCAGAGTAGATCTTGTGGCTGAAAGGCTGCAGCTGGCAGTGAAAGCTAATGGCTAGCTGACATCATTACATCGTAACCACTTGGCTATGATGTAGACATGCACAGTCAGCCTTTCATAGCCTCACGTTCTGCATTGTTGGCTTCAACCAAGGGTAGAGTGAAATACTAGACAAAAATATCTGTTTGGAACAGATTCTGACTCACTCCCTAAGCTGTAGGCAACATTTACATTTGCATAAGTATTAGAAATTAAAGTCATCTAGAGAGGATTTGAAGAGTTTGAGGATGTGTGAAGGTTAGATGTAAATTCTATACCATTTTATAGAAAAAAGTCATAGATACACAGAGGATGCTGACTTTTTTATGATTTATTTTATTTGATGTGTATGAGTGCCTGCCTACATACATGTATGCATGTGTACTGTGTTCATGCCTGGTGTCTCAGAGACAGGAAGAAAGTTCTGATTTCCTAGAACTGGAGCTACAGATGATTGTGAGCCACAGTGAGGACGCTGGGAGCTGAACCTGAGTCCTGGAAGAGCAACAAGTGCTCTTATCTGGCCTCTAGCCTGTCTGCCTATCTGTTTTCTGTCTATTTGTCTGTTTTGAGACAGGCTCTTAGGTAGTCCAGGCTGTCCCTGAGTTACCAATTCTTCAGCTCTCACCTCCCAAGTGCTGGAATTACAGACATCTATCATTGGATATCCCTGGGAACAACCTTATTGAATAAACACATTAATGAATTTATTTCTGAATGGAAATGGTAGATAAGGTTTTCTCTTTGAGAAGAGACCAGACTTCGGAGGTTGATGTGAAAGATTGCTGAGTCAAGACTAGTAAAGTTTTGGTATGGGCTTGACCAAGTGTCCAGTTGTGGCTCAGGGACAAAGACCTTAAGCTGTTTGTTGACAGCCTGTGAGGAGAGAACTGAAGTGCTGAGCCTTGAAGTGAGAAGATCCCTTTGGTTATCACTACCTGGCTTCTAGATACCAAATCAAGCTCCCCATCCTAGGTGGCAAGTGGACAGCAGTCGTATGTTCAAATGCCGTCCCACCTACGTATCTGTAGACGCACTGTAGCATAGCATTTCTCTGAGTTGACTCAGTTGTGATGGATTAAACTGCATTTCAGGTTCTCAATAATTCTGTAGTACTCTGGTACATCCTCGTTTTATACAGCCCTGCTGGGGTTGAAGAAGACAGTCACAGAAGCCTTATCTCTTCCCTCATGAGACGCCTTGAAAGCCAGTCACCATCTTGAAAGAAGGATGATGACTTAGTCTAAGGTTGGCGCTGCAGTTGCTGCCTTGAGCTTAGCTGCCCACAGGGAGAATGCCTCTGTGGAGCAATAACGCTGGCCAAGTCAAGAATAGAAATTGTTGGACTTGATGGCGGTGAAAAGGAGATACATATTCAACAGAAGCTATACTTTAAATTTATTTATTTATTTTGTGTGTACAGGTAGATAGGTGTGTGTGTGTGTGTGTGTGTGTGTGTTTGTGTGTATGCGTGTATGCATACGTTTGGAGGCCAGAGGTCACCTTGGGTGTTGTTCCTCAGCTGCTTCCAACCTTTTTGTGTAATGTCTCTATCTTAGAGCTCAGTGATTAGATTAGGCTAGCTGGCCAGTGAGCCCAAAGGATCCACCCACCTATTCTTCAATAGTACATGGATTGGGATTCCAAATGTGTTTTTTTTTTCCTTTCCCTTTAATGTGGGTTTTGGGCATTGAACTCGGTCTTCACGCTTGTAGGGCAAGCACTTCACCAACCTTGCTATCTTTCTGGCCCTAGAAACTGTATTTTAACTTTATCTATCGGTCTTCAATCTGTCTGTCTATCCATCATCTATCCATCCATCCATCTCTCTCTCATCTATCTATCTATTGGTTTTTTTGAGCCATCAGCCTTGCCTTCACAAGGAAAACAGTCAATGCAGTCTATGAGCTAAGGGTACTTGTAAGCCTCTAGTGTGGGGGCTGCGAATTAAACTTGGTCTTCTATAAGAATGCTAAGTCCTCTTAACTGCTGAGGAAGTTGCTAGCTGCCTACTGTATTTTTAAGCTGTGATATCTGGTTGCTTCCTTCTGACTATATCCAACATAGGATATCCTAAAGTTAGAATACTTTTATCACATGGTGAGTTCACTGGGATATAGCTTTGCTGGTTGTAAATGGAGGAGTGTGTATTTGATCAGGGCCTGTGAGAAAGGCCTGGCCTGACAGTGTCTTGGAGAAACACACAGTGAGCACTTGGCCCGGGGCTAGGAATCTTGTCATGTCTGAGTTCAGATAACTTGATGGCTTTTGGTAGGAGGCCTGGCTGATGTAACTCCACAGCAGAAGCGCTGTCTGTTGACAGGCTGGGGACCATCTGTTTACCTCAGTTGTCCTTTTTTTTTTTTTTTTTTTTTTTTGGTTTTTCAAGACAGGAGGAGTGAGGAAGAATCTAATTGTCATTTCAAGAGTTCAAGAGCAATCAGGGGGTTCTGAGATGCTGCAGTAGTTGGTGGCAGTATCTAAAGGGGACAGGCTTAGACAGTTGGTTAATTCATTCACTAACATTTCATTAAGTCTCTGCTCTTCAACAAGCACCATTCTAAGCAATGTGGGTTTACTTGTGTCAGTTTAGATAGGAAGTACAGTGACAACAATGAGCATACATGTACACATGTTGTGTACATATGTAACCAAATGAGGATGACGCCAAAGAGTAATGCTGAGATGAATTCATATGATAGAAAGAGGTTGGATGTTCCAGGAATGCATCTTAAGGAGTCACAGTTAGCTAGGGCCAGATTGGAAGGAATTATTGAGGAGGAAGAGCACTCTAGCCCGTGCAGAGGGCTAATGATCCTCCTCAGATGCCTCGGGAGATGTCCAGGAGCAGAAAGAAAGCCATTGGGAAAGGCATCATAAGGGAAGGGAAGGGTGTTGGTGGCTGGGGTCAGGGCCGTTGCCCCAGTCTGTGCTGCTGTGCCTCTGCCAGGACTAACACTGTGTATTTCTATCTACAGACGACTTTGCGGAGGAAGAGGAGGTGCAGTCCTTCGGTTACAAGAGGTTTGGTGAGTCGTGGCCAAGCTTGTTCTTTCCCCTCACTCAGCCTAGGTCACAGCAACAGAATCTTAGTGGCAGGAATGTGGTGAGACTTTGACACAAATGAACATTTGGGCCTTTAAAGTCCAGTTGTGGTTCAGAATGGAGCTTCTCTGTGGCAGGTGGATGATTGTACAACTCTGAGGGTTTGTGGGACAAGAGCTGCATGCAAGCCAAGGGAAGCGATGTGTGTGCTGAATACAGACCACAGACAGCTCAGCTGCAATACCTTGGGAAAGGGGAATCTGTGACCAGGAAGGAACAGAACACTCAGAAAGTTCCTCTGCTGCCAGTCACAAACCTGTGTCTTCCCCATTTCCAGGCCTTATGCTCGTAAATTATATTAGATAAATGGGAGGGAGACTTTTTCCAGGAGCCCAACTGAGTAAGAGCACTGTGGAAGTCTGGGTAATGGCCCCTCAAAGGTATCGGCAACTGTAGCCCTAGAGCCTGAATGTTACATGGCAAAAAAGACAAGCCATCGTTGAAGAATGTGGGATTATTCTGGGTTACTTACTCACTGGGTCCCCAGCTACCACAAAGTGTCCTTATGAAATGAAGGCACAGGGAAACTTGATGCCAGACAGGCTTATCCCACTGACTGAAGCAGGATTGGAAGGGTCCTCAGGTCAAGGAATTCTGGTAGCTTCTAGATGCTTATGAAAACAAGGGAATGGATTCTTCCTCTGGAACTCCCAGAGGGAGAACAGTCTATCAGACCCTTTTATTTAAGGCAGCTGAAGCTGACTTGAGACTTTGGCCCTCCAAGACAATTAGGGGAGAAATAAATTGTGTTTGTATCTCCCTGTTTGTGGGAACCTTTTGCAGCAGCCACTCGCTGTGTCTTTCCGCTGCTGCACTGTGATCTCGTTCCTGCTGTAGAGCTTGAGGGTCACTGTGTGCCTCGAGCCAGGTCCAGCCACCCATTCTTAATAAGCCAGGGTCAAACTGAGAGTAGAAAGCCGAGGAAGATCTATTCAGTGCAGCCACATTAGGGACAAAGAGATGCAGGGAATCCCTAACTCCCCTAAGCCCTCCTTTAGTGTCCTGAAGTGCGATCATACTTAAGTAGAAAGCCAAGGTTATATGCATCTAAGCAGCCCCAGCCAAAACATGGTCCCACCCACCATTGACCCATCATCCTTTGGGCTTCTGTCTCGTCCTGTTAGGGGGTCTGGCAAGTTATTAGGGCCATGTGAAATCTCTTTCCTTTCCTCCGGTGGGTGTCCTTTCCTTCTTCCAGTATGAGGGTTCTGGAAAAATTTCCATATATTTGGGCTTAATTATTTTAATAATCTGATCGACTGAGAGATCTTTAGAATATCTTCATTTCTGCCAGGCCAGTTATAATCCCTCACTTTCTATTTTAGCACTTCCATCTTGGGGTGGATGGTGTCTCTTTGGCAACAGGATATAATAAACAGAACACAAGTAAAAACCAGGGTCAGAACAGATATAGTTAGTGCCAGGTGCCCATGCATAAGAACCCATTTTCACGGCCTCTTCACTTTTAGTTAGTTTTGGGAGGGCTGACACAGGCAACTCCATCTTGTTGGCATGATACAGAATTTTGCCATGAAGCTTAGGCTGTCCTCAAATTTAAAATCCTCCTCCTTCTTCAACCCAAGTGCTAAGTTTTCACACAAGAACACTGTAACCAGCTTGACTTCAAAGGGAAGAAATGTGTGGTGTGTACCGCGAGCTGTTCAGCAGCCACAGGGAGCTAACACTCCACCCTCCACCTACCTGGCTACAGTACTTGAACTGCGCTCTGATCCAGCATCTCAGGCTCTCCAGTGTGGCTGAGAAACAGCAGTAAAGCATTGCTGCTCCAACCCACAGTAAAAGGCAATGGAGAGAACAACTTGTTTTTGTGCCTTGGTCATAAGAAATAGAGACACTTGGGTGGAGTGTGTGTGTTTCTGAATATAAAGAGACTAACTCTACTTCCTATTACTTGAAGCATTCTGGCTGAACTTTGATGAAAGTTAACAGCCCCCAGCTGCTGTTGTAGAGGGTTTTTTGTTTTGTTTTGTTTTGTTTTTTCCTGTCTGGACCCAACATACTTCTATGTTTCTTTCTGGGAAAAGAACTGGGGCTTTAATATGGGAATGCAGCCACAGGAGGCCCATAATTCTCCATCCATGTCCTGGCAGAACAGCCTGGACCCTGGCCTGCCACCTCTCCACACAGCAGCATGTTTCTGGGTCCATACTGTGTGTTGTTCTGATTTCCCTCGGGGGAGACACTAGGAAGGATAGTAGTAGAACTGAAGATGAAACCAGTAATTACAAAGGAACACAAAACACAGGGACCAGAAAACACTGGAAAATAAATATTGTGATGGCTGTGTATATTTTGGAAATCAGTAGACATGTGAAGAAGTGAAAGAGGTTTTGGGAAGGTCTCCTGTAGCCCAGGCTGGCCTTAAACTTGCGTTATAGCTGAGTACATATTTGATCTTCCTGCCTCGACCTCCCAAGTACTGGTGTGTGCCAATGTGCCTGGCTGAGAAAACATTTCTTTAAAAAAAGTGACCTAAGTTGGGTGTGGTGCTGCATGCCTGTAATTCTAACACTTGCTGAGGATGAGGCAGGCGGATCACAAGTTCATGGCCTGGACATGTGAGACCTTAGTGAGACCTTAGAAAGGTTTAGGGACACACTTGAGTATTAGAGTCCTTGGCTAGCAGCATGAAGACCTGGCTTCATTCCCTAGTACTACCGAATAAATACATTAAATAAACAAAAATTGAGGCTGCAGAATTAAAAACATGACACAGAAAACATCTGTTAATTTATGACCGCATTCTAGTTAGGTGGGGAGGGAGCTGGTACAAAAATAAAAAAAAAAAAATAACACATTTTGAAAAGGATTTTAGTTTATGGGGTTAAATTAGACATGAGAATTGCCAACTGGTGACTCAGGGTCTTTTCATGTAATGAACTGAGAAATGTCCAGAGAACACAAACAGAGAGGAGGGAGAGAATGAATGGTACCAGGCAGTGCGGACAGAAAATTAGGCTGAGGTTGAGCTGAGAAACCCTGGAGTTCCTGAGCCTGGCTTGGCGGCACTGGCACTTAGAAGGTGGAGGCAGGAGGACCAAGAGTTCAAGGTCATCCTCAGCTACATACTGACTTTTAGGCCAGCTCTATAAGACCCTATCTTTAAAAAAAAAAAACAAACAAAAGGGGGAAAAAAGATGATCCTGCTGTTGGGAGGTTTTGGATTATTTCAAAGAAAACTGCCTTTTTACACAGGGCTAGAGTAGAAATCTGCCTTTAATTGCACAGATACAGAAGGTGAGACATGGGTAGATTTGGTCCTTAGTCAAGTGAATTAACTGGATCTGGGGTTAGAAGATTCTGAGTTTTTTAACTGTTAGGCTAGTATCTTGGGATCAGATCTTACATTAGGTTGAGGTGACCTCTCAATTTCTGTGTCTGAGAACAGCACCCTGAAGCTCAGGAATCCTAATATGGGTCTAGCCTCTCTATCTAAGCCCACTGATGAGAACTGGGGACTTTTTACAGGTTTTAGAACTTCTTAAGAAGGTAAATAAGTTTTCAGTCCAGTCCCTGAATGCAGCAGAGCCATAGACCTGTTTCTTTAGGTGTGAGTAAGCTTGAATAGTCCCTTTGCAGTCAGTTGATGGTAGTATAAAAGGTAGAAAATGTCTGTCTACCAGCCTGGCTGCTGGGCCTTGCCCCTGGTGTCCGCATTACTGGAAGCCAGTTGTTGACACTTATGAGCCTCAACATTCTACCTGTGTCCCATAAGCAGTTGACACCAGCAAGGAAGAGTAAGTACCTATCAAAGGGCAGCTGAGAGGGGCCCTGGGTAGGTGCCGAGTAGGCACTGTGCTGTATTTCACGCCTTGTGATATTCAGGGTTGGCATTTTTGTACAGCCACTTCAGAATGTCAGAGTGTGAATCCTCATTCCTAAGCAGTTGGGGATGGTGCGACTATGCCCCCAAACATGGCTCTTGTGTTGGATTTTATTTTTGCAAAAGGAAACTGGATACCATTGAGAGTTTTGTTATTGTCTAATTTTAGAGATGCCTTACTTATATAAAAACAACTTGAATTTGAGAGGAGCCAGGAGTTCATTATTCTCAAAACAAAGGGGCCATTGTTGGAGCAAAACATTTCTGAGTAGGCTTTTCCAAAGTTATTCATTCATGGTTATCCAGAAACATTTGCTGATAATATTTGTATCATAATACTAACCATTTTCCAGATTCAACAGATTATAGTATGAAAAAAATGTCTGATCTTTGGTCTAGTATATACTGTATTAATTTTTTGATTGCAGGCGTTCCTTGTTTTTTTAGAGACTTCTTATTACACTTTAGTCTTCACCAGGTCTGTTTTCCTTTAGGCTTTCTGTATGTCAAACCCCATTCTGAAAGTTCTGAAAGGTGTCTAAAAATGAGACAGAGTGAAGCCTGACAACTTTGCAACTGATTTGTTATACAACAAAAAAAAAAAAAACTTCAACAAGAAGAATCTTTGAAGAGTTAATTAAGTGAGAGTTCTCAGGTTTTAATAAGGCTTTGTGGGTCAGCATCTCTTGGCCTTAGTCTGCAGAGCTAATTGAGATGTAACTATGGTTACAGCTTGACAGAGGGTCTTTTCTGAGACATGAGGTGCCAGCCCATTGTGTATGTGTGTGTGTGTGTGTGTGTGTAGAGTCTCATTGTGTAGCCCAGGTTTACCTTAAGCTTGTGGCTCTTCCTGCTTTTATTTCTTATTGCTGGGATTACAGAAATAAATTGTTGCCACTGGTTCTCTCTATGCTTTTTACTCTAATGAGACCTTTCTATTTATTCCCCAGTCTTTCTTTCTGTGTCTCTCTCACATTCTTTCTTTCTTTTTGTTTTTTGTTTTTGTTTTCTAGCTTTTCCAGTTAGGGTTTCTTTGTGTAGCTTTGGCTGTCTTGGATCTAGCTATGTGGACCAGGCTGG